TTACCATGCGAAAGGAAGACAAGGTTGCCTCAAAATCTTTAAAGAAACCAACCAGTTTCTTTCCTATTAAGTTCATATAAATTTGGAAACAGTGTACCCAAGAGTTTACACTTATTATTTTTCTGACAGTTAGTAATTAATTATATCAACTAATTTCCTCGAATTAGATCACTTATTCTCGATGTATTTACTACAAATAAATGCAAACAATTTTGATACATGAAGTTTGAGAGTCCCCTGTGGTCGGGGCCCCAACCAGAATGTCTTTGTTGGCTATAATGGCCCATGGGCTGAGTTTCAACGTGAATTGAATCCGTGTGGAGAAAAGGGGAGTTGCGTTTTAGGCGATCAGGCGTGACGGGCCCTTGGAGTTTTCTTGTACCACCTCGAAGCACCTGTCTCTGGCTCAGGTAAAGAAACGAGGGCGGATGACCATCATCGGTAGGTGTGGCGATCGTTGGTTCCCCGTTTGCAGGAGACTCCACCCACCTGTCCGCCTATTTCAGCTTTGAATTCCGTTATCATGTCCGCGGAAACAGGCCTCGATGGTCGCCACGGGCATTTTACTACATTAAGAATCGCTTTCGAAAAAGCCGAAAAGGGGGCACACCGTGTTCATTTCTCTTACACGGAGTGGCTCAATAACTACCTTCGTCTGAAGTAACTTATTTATTCATTTCACACAAAAAAAAAAAACAAAAAAAAACACATTTCATCGTTTATATCTTTATACAAATTGGGCAAATTTTGAGTAACCAAGTTTTCTGAATATAAAATTATTTGCGTACGTACAAGCAGTCTTTCCGCATCTGTTTAATTCTTTACAAATTACGCATGTATTACATATATTACAATTGTATACAAAACGGTCTTCAATTATATCTTACTTATTAATTTCCTTCTTTATTTCAGATGAAACTACACGCGATTACAATTAACCCAGAAGCACGGCCATCTACGATCTACATAATGTCGCAGAAATTTTATCGCAGAAATTCAATCGCAGGTAAAACTTATATACAGCACAGTCGTTGTACCTGTGTTTATTATGAATAACTTTATCGAAATTCTATTACAGACACCACCAGTCGATTCGCTCTTCAGCCACCGAGATTCCCTTCTTGAACGTCCTCCGCGAGGATCTTGAGAGGCCTCGGACCCGATCAGCATCGCGCAGCGAAGAACAGAGCGAATAGAAGCGACGAACACGACGAAAAGTATTTAGCGGACAGCAAGGGGTGGCTCGAAGGACGCGAGGAGGGTTGTAGGAGCTATCGGGCGTGAATAATGCGCGGCGCCGTCCGTTCCTTGGTCCGTAGGTTCGATTCCGGCTCGGCTGGATGGATTGATAAAGATTAAAGGTAAAGGGAGGTGGCAGGGTCCAGGGGTGTTTTGGAGTTAGGCGACAGAAGTCAGCCAGCGAAACGAATCGGCCGCACACGTATGGAGGGGGATGATGTCACATAGGGGTTCCCCCCAAGCGTAAATACATACAGATGCACGCTGGACTGATGCATCGAGCATGGGGACAGTGACGTAGGCAGGAGGATTTTCATACAGTTTTTCGATCCTTCGTTTTGTAGCTTCTATTTGTTCACTCGTTCTATCGAGATTATTGGAATTATTGGGATAGTTCTTAAACGACGGAGTGGTTTATGCTTCTTCTTCCATGCTCAGAGTTGGGAAAGAATTAGGAATAATTGATGAGCGAACATAGGAACATTAGCAATTCATTTAGGCAAAGGATATTCCAAAATGGGCTTTAGGATTTTCCTTTTTCGAAGTTACTTTTTCGAGATCTCTAGTATCCAACATTTTTAGAGGTTTTTATCGTTACTCTGACATAGACCATTAACCCTTTATTTACCGAATTTTGTAAAAGTTTTTACCGATAGAAGCAAAATCCAGGCGTCCATATCTTGGTCTTATATCATCTTATAGACTTGTCTCTAAGATGTTTTCAAAAGAAAAAAAGCTTTCGGTGCCATCCAACAATCAAAAACAAACTTTATAGAAGTAGACTTGAAGGTCACAATAGGTTCCAAAGCGTTCAATTAATAAACAGTAACGTGAGAAAATTACTTATAAGTCCCGCCAGTAAATAAAGGGTTAAATGGTAATTGTACGTTGACTGCCAGACAAGTTTTCTATGTCTAGGAATGTTTAACAATAATAATTTGTTTAAAAATCGTACAAATATTGGTCTGGCACCACTGACTGACCACTGGCAGTCAACGTCTATAAAACTCGATTCGGGTAATTTTCCTACGATCCAAAAAAAAATTCCAGCGACTGAGGGTTAACGTTGAAACTAGGATAAAAGGTACAATCGATTCGATATATCTGCCACCTTTAGAACTCGGAGCGCGAGACACGAAATTTCGTAAAGACCGCCCGCATCCAGCGTCGACGACGAATTAATTCGATTTAACGTCAGCGCGTATAATGGCGTGTGACCGAGTGAAAGACACTGCCAAAGCGTTTCTTTAACGACGGCGTCGAGACAACGAACACGTCTCGGTGACCAGGGCCCCGGCTGTATCTCGTCGAGGAAACAAAGGAAATCGTTACGCGGATGGCGGGTCTTCCCCGCCGCGAAACGCAATATCGGGGAACCTGGTCGACGAAACGACCATTTAAAATGAAATACAATTCTCCACTCGTGCCTCGAAGAGAAGAATGATCGACGCGTCTCACGGCGTCGCGCAGCGGAAAATGGAACGAGACGCGCTCGACGAAAGAGACTTCGAACCGGCCACGCTCTCGTTTCTCTCAACGCGTGAAACAGGAAATTCCTATTCGTGCCTGCGTAAGAGAATACGGACTGTTGCAATAATTGTAGTCGTTTAAAGTTTGAGAATCGAGGATCGGGACTGTCAGGTCGCAAGAGCTGCAACAGCTTCTTCTTCCCGAGACTAAACATTTCGTCTCCCGAGGGATATTTGACACACAAAACGTATAACGTATTAAAGTTAGACGGACTGTATGTTAAAATCAATTCACAGATCAAAATTGCTTTAGTCTGCGTATATTCAATTGTAGTAAAAATAAGATATCACTGACAATTATATCAAAAGAATGTCTATAATTTCCGTTGTCTTCGGAAAAAAAACTTTAAACAGATACTTTAGCTGAGCTACGATCGTCGTCAGTCGTCGTACGAAATGAATTGTAAATCACCCCCGAAGCGAAACATTTAAAGTTAGTATAACAATTATGTTAACGAAAAAATACTAGAATGTCCATCGTGTTGTTGCGAGCCAGGATCGTCTCCAGTTGACATAATAAATTCGTTTCGGGGGCTACGCCAATGGGAGCTCACTCGGCACGGATGACTCACGCGATCTCTCTCGCAGCCTCCTTTGCGCGATCCCGTATGGTAGTCATGCACAATGGAGAATAGTAAACGCAGTAAAGGTAACTCGTAGAGAACAGGACCGTTGGTACGGGGCCAGCTTCCCCCTGTGTGCGAGTACCCGCGGGTCACGTGCCACGATTTTCACCCCCGTACGACCGATTGCCAGTCTGCGAGCATATCTGGATCTCGCAGTAACGCTCGTCGAAGCGATTTCGCACGGGAGGGATGGGGCTCCTTGAATAAAACTAACGAGCGAACGTGTGGCGTTCGCTCTTAAACGCTGATCGCATTTTCTTTCTACACTCGTCGAATTTACCGTGGAATTTTCCTTGCATTGTTTCGGAGCAGAGGAAGGGAAATGCGCGAGCTGGAATCTGTTCGAACCAGCCATACTCGGGGCCTCTAATTGTTTTGCTAATGGAGAAATAGCTGAAGGAATAGATAGAGACGTGCGCATGTTGGATAGGATAGTAGGACGCGAGTAGTACTTGACGCTTTTGCTGCGGATGACGCACGTGTGCGTCCGACTAAAAATACATGGTTGTTTTTACTTTTTTGTTCAATCATATTATATATAAAATAAGTTACCACAAATATATGTTTTCTGAATAATCGTATTAGAACACTTTTAAGAAATTTTTCATTAAGAAAAATATCGTAATTGCAGCTCTCAGCGAACGGCTACTTACTTTCGTACGCAGCGAAAGTGTTAAACGATGTGAAATACGGTGGAATTCCGATAAGAAATAGAGTTCTCGAGGGTCCTCTCTTCGTCGGTTTCGTGGCTGATCCGTCCCTGGGAAGCGAAGAAAGGCGTTGAAATTTCGCGCGAAATTTTTCAAGTTCAACCTCGTCAGGGAATGAACCATACGCGTCACCAATTAGCTCGTCCAGCATCTCGGGCGTGGGTCTTCAATTAGACAATTACAGGCTAAATCGAGCGGAATTTCCAGCAGCGCACCCGCATGTTCGTTAAGAACGATGCGACGTGCCTGCTCACCTACGTGACGACTATTAAGGTGGACGAAAGCGACGCGAAGTGTAACCTTTGATCAGGTACCACGTGGACCCACATATTCCGATCTAGGGAATTGTGAGTCACCGGTGAAGCCCGCTGCCGAATTTAGATCCGTGATAAAGTCAATTCCAGCGTCCCAGGCGGCAGTTAATCCTCCGTGGAGCTTCTGCGCATCCGCTTTAACGTGAATCGACGTATTCAATCGTCGCTTTACCTCGTGACGCTCGTTGCCAGAGATGTACAAGGTTTTCCCAAATGAGTCCTCGAATTCCGTTTTTTAATCGAATCCGCGAACTGATTGCATTCTCTTTTCTTGCAATCCTGTTTATTTCTTTCCATTTTCGATTATTTAATATTTTCTGTCTTCGGCTAATTTATATTCCCTCGATTGTCTTCTAAGGTTCTCTGATATTTTCTATGTTTCTAATTAGTTCAAAAAACAGCTCGAGATTATAGCTTACCTTTACGGCATTGTCTGTTCTCGCACATAACGTTTTACGCGCGCTGCGGGAACAAGCGTAACGAAGATATTTATTAACGATAACGAAGTATCTCTCTCTTTCTGTTCGTTTGTTTACGAAACGAACTATCGCGGAGGAGAGACGTACGGTGCAACGTTTAAATACGCAGACCGAGATAATTTTTATTTACGACTCACGTGAGTGGCCTCACCTTCGTTTATTTCAGCCTCGACGATAGCGCCTATCGTTCGTTACTTTATTTCCTTCGCCGACCACAACATCCTTTCGTCTGCTCTTTTATTTTAATCCGCCGTCTCTATCTCACATCGCTCTTGGTTTTTATCGTTTCGTGGCACGTAAGTGCCTCGAGGATCTATTTCCCATCGAGCTCCCAACTCGTTCCCGTTGCCAGCCAATTATTAATTAGACCAACGCGATTGATCGAGAATTGCTGCCGCTCGAAACGATGAAATTAAGATTACGCGAAACTATGGCAGCCCGTTAACGATCACACTTCCGCGTAACGCGTGTGGATTCGAGAATAACAATTTATTCATTATTGCAACAGATATGTTGAATTTAATTAACGATTGCAAGTAGACTATTTTATACCTTTCGAAAAGGAGGAAACAATTGCATTACATCATGTATTTATTAAACTTCTTTGAAAGTAAGCTCTACGATCGAAACGAAACTCGTGGAAATTTGGAGAAGAACAAAGAGGCTCGAGAATAGAACATGACTTTTTTTTTTTTTTTTAAATCGCAAAGGAAAGCAACTAGAGAAACCGATAAATAACCGGTCGCTTAGAAGCCTGGAATCGAACGTAAAAGAGGAACTTGATCGAAACTCGTGCATTTGCTTTGGATACAAAATCTCGAAAGGTACACCCCCTCGGACGCACTTAAGTTTGCCGACAGATATTGATTTTCGTGAGGTCAAACACGGGCCAATGGTGGGACCGAATACATCTCTCGACCAGGGGCTCGGACAAATTCTTTGTCGTGGGCCAATCGTCGTTGCGCCAATCTAGCGCCAAAATTTCCCATCTTTTACCTGCCGCTGTGGCAAACAAACCTCTAACAATTCGAGATTTATTCGACATCGTTCGAATTACGCTCGGCATTACGACGAACGAGTACAAAATTTACTTAACCGAAGTTAGTAGAAGGAAATCGAATAGATTTCACTAAAAGGAACGCAACAATATTTTGCTCGCGAAATGTTTTTCTCTTTTTCAGGAGGTGTACCTTTGTAAAACTGTGGGAACAATTGACGTCGACGGACCCTCATTTTGGTGCGTTGTCAATCGTACTTATAGCAATTGAAACGATATAATTATAAAGTTCTAACGCAAGAGAAGAAGAGGGAGAACGATATCCTAAGGAAATGAAATACGTATTTATTTGAACCCTTTGCACTCGAGACGTGGTTCTCGGTCACCATTGGCTTTCGCGCAGCAAATCTATCAGCAACAATGTTTCTTTAAGTTTCATTTCTTTGGAACTCGAAGTGTCGATTAAATGACCTTATTCTGAAATCTAGATAGCTTAGAATTCGTAGCAATAGAATGTTAAGAAACATCTCGAGTTGCTGGTAGATATTAGAAAAAAGGCCTCGAGTGCAAAGGGTCAACGACTAAAGTTTCTGCTACTTTCCACCTCGTACTAACTAAACCATCATCCCCAGGAATGAAAAAAAAAAAAAAAAAAGGAAAAACGAAGGGATCAACCACAGCGACCAAGGATGACGGCAGAATCGGGCAAAAGTCATATTCCGACACACATTCGGCAGTTTACGGTCACGTGAAAATCAGACAAGAGCCGGATGAACGCGAGGGGAAAAAGGGGGACGAGAACGCGAGGGGTGCACTTCGTCGCGAGAGGGTGAAGGGCTGCCAGAGAGAGAGACGAAGCATGCTCAGACGCACATATTACGGCGCACGTCAGTATTTAAACACGCTTGATGGGAAGGTGGTGCACGAGGGTGAAATCGGGTCCCCATTGTGCTCAGGTGTGAGGCGTGTGCGCAGGGGGTGGACAGGGCGAGGGGAAAGGCCGAGGGAGAGGAGGGTAGATTTGCACACGCGGCACGAGCCGCTCCAACAAAGGGATGGAACAGATTGGAAGCCATTCATTCATTCGGTTGCCCTGTATTTTTTCCCCGTGTTTGACTGGGAGAGCATCGTCGACCACCCCTCCTACTGCCGTTCTACCCCGTTTCTTTATGCACGACCGTCTCTCGTCTGCCTACAGGTACGGCCAATTACTATTTTTTCTCTTTTACTCCACTTCTTCTTCTTCTCCTTCTTCTTCTTCTGCTTCTTCTTCTTCCTCTTCTTCTTCTTCTTCTTCTTCTTCCTTTTCCATTTGCTTTGTCCTTGCAAGGGTATTTTTGTAATTGCGAATATTTCACGAATTGGAAATCGTTAGGGATGGATGAAATTGTATCGCGATAAAATTCGAAGAATGTAACAAACGAAATAAATGAAAGGTAACTAGTTGGTAGTTATAGAAGTATTTAATGAAGTTTTTTGAGGTAATATTCCACTGCGCAATCGATAGCAAGCTTCAACCAGAAATTAATATCACGGTGCGTGGCATGCACTTTAATTATCTTTATTATACCTCAATTAAAATCAATCAGTTATGCGTCCCTTAACGCGACTCATGGGTGACTTCGATGCCATATTCGAAGAAGTGAACGTCGTCGAATTAAACAGCTCGTCCATTACTTGCCCCAATGAAAGTTGGAATTGGAATTATAGAAAGAAACGTTTCACGATAACGAATGGAAGTTTATCGTTCAAACTGTGAATTTAAAACAAGAAAATTTCGGTTTGAATTATAGAGAATATACCAGTAGAAACAAATAAAAATTTAGGTGTCCAAGTGAATGAACGTCGCGATTAAATTATTTTCCATTCGTTTCATTTGTTACATTCTTTGAATTTTATACAATCTCACCCATCCCTAACGATCATTCTATAGTCCGTAATTCCGCTTAAAAATTCGCTCGTGGAATATTCGCAATTACAAAAATACCCTCAACGGGTGGTTTTGAATCAGTGATTCCGTCGAACCTGGGCGAATCGAGTAAGTGAACGAGCACGAATATTAAAAGCCTTTTAACGTAACCGACTGTATTCGGGGTACGTTCCAACCAGGGTTGAAACCCTGCTGGATTCACCCTCCTGCCACGGTCCGAGCGGTTATGCTACGTGAGCCTATCCGTACAGTACCATTCATAATTATTCGAACGATTCTGCGCTTCGAAAGCAGCCACGATTGCATTTTCCACTGTATTCGCTCATTTTTGCTAATCAATATTTGATGTAAACATAGTTTCAACAGTGATACTATCCCTCTATCCCTTTTTTAGAAATTAATGTTAATGGAGTTGAGTTGGGATGCCACGATTCTTCTTTTACGCAGTGTTTATACGAGTCTCAAAGAGTAAGAAAATGAATGTTTAATTATACACGTACGTGTACTTACGCTACTTTACGATAGTTCTCATCGTCAATATTTTCACGAACTAAGTAACTTCTTTCGCCAGAACAAAAAGTAACCAAAGTAACCAAACAAAACTTCATCCTAACCGGCCAAAAAAACACCGTTAGCTACAGCAAAATCTCCAACAGACAGATTTCAAATTGTCCATTAACGATTATCAACTCGATAAAAAAAGAAAGAAAGGCGCAAAGATTCTTGCTTTCGGAAATGTCCAAGCCTTTTCCGGTGGATTCTCAGGGGAAAGAAGGGAATGACGAACGTAGCAGATAGCGTTGTAAATAATTGCACGCGCGATTTCGATGGTAATTATGAATCTTACTGTATGCACCTACGTGTTTCGGGAAAAGAGACGGTGGCATCGGTGGTTGGAAAGGGACGAAGAAACGAATGGAGGGAGAGGGTGGCCAGGGGGATAGGTTATGTTCTTTCCGCCTGCATACCCATCTATTCAAGTTATTGCATTACTGGCTTAGCTTTGCTACCCCCGTAGCTCGTGCGCGGCCACCCCAACGTCCATATGCAATATCCATCGACACCGTGGCTGCATTTCGCAGCGCGCACCTTCCCAGAATGCCTGGCCGCAATCCCTTTAACCTTTTGTTTCCTCGATTCGCGAAGGCGGCGAGGCGGTTTTTGTGAGCGCGTTCGCAGCGAAATGAAAAACCAACACTGATGGCGGAAGGGTGAGGCCAAGGTGGGACGAACGACCGAATATTTATATCGTTTGATATTAATACCCAATTACAGGCAAACTTGTTTTTGTGTGGTAGACGGGGACCGTATAAAAAAAAAACAACACGCACAAAGAAAATATTTAGAAACTTTATAAATAACTATAACAAATAATTTTTCATACCGTATTGAAGACAATTTTTGTTTGTTTTTTTTTTTTTTTTTTTTTTTTTGTGGAGAGAGACCGCATAAATAAAGTCTCATTTAAGAATATTCGTTTTAAGAGAGCACTCGTGTCTAGAAATAAAATAAAAGTCATAAAAGACCATAGCGTCATCATAAAATCACGAAAGACTATCTGAATAGAAAAAAATAATTAATGTAAATTTAATCTCGCTTAAAAATTCAAAAAAAAAATTAGAGTCGATTGATATTCCAACAAACACCAATTACCGGTAGTTGAAATTAATCTAAATTCAATCGGTCCAATATAAATCATATATCAATGTAATAATCGGTCTAATATAAATCAATCCTTATATAAATCAGTTCTAACGGCAGTTCATTAATACGAGCGCGAGTAACCGGTAGCGTTGTCTATTTACATCGGGTTTTAAGCTTGATATTAAATAATTGGCAAGGAACGTTTGTTGAGCGCGCAATCGATTGCTCGATTTATGGTGGTAGTCTCGCTTTGACGAACGCGACTCGTCGAAAAATTAGATGCCACGCTGAGAAACGAGCCGGGGCGGGTTGAAATATTTGCCGGATCAAGCAATACAAATCATTTCTGCAAATAGTAGCACGGATGGATGCATACGCACGCGCGCGCATTTCATTACCGCAAAGAGCGGTCTGGCGTGCTGCACACCTGAGACACGTGTGTGTCATTTCCCGTCCTCGACGAGGGAAGTCAGACAAACTAATGCGTCTGAGAAATGTCGTCTAACCCAGAGATTTGAACGTGACGACTCGCGTGTTCCGCGGAATCGTTAAAACCCACGAATGAAAGAACTCGACAAAATTATTACATTAATTATTCTATCTAAATTAGAAAATTCACTCTTGTCAATTGCAAGCCGACGACGTATAAGTTCAAATGTTAATCAAAAAAAATAGAACGCTAAAAATTAATGGCAAGACTAATTCGTGTAATTTCAAGACTAGAGTGAAACTAACGTCGATCTAAATCGTGGTGTATCGGATTTACAATTAGCCTGCCGCGAAACTGCGTGACGTATTGGTGGATGCCTCGCGCGTGGGAGGATGTATAAAATTACCAAGGAAAAGCGATAAAGCGTTACGTCGACGAAATACAGGTTCATCGCGATGAACGGCGTGGGCCACTATTCGTCACGTATCGACGGAAAATCTATTCTGCAACGCCTGTCGAACGCGATAAAACACGGCCCGGTGTCCATTGTAACGCGCCTAATGGACTGATTTACGACCATTTCGCTCCTCGTTTTTTACGCGTCTTCCAATTATTTCCATTCCAACCAGTTTCAACTACTGTCGAGCCCTTGGTAGTTCTCGAAACTTAACTCTTTGCACTCGAGACGCGACTCGCAGTTACCATTAGGTTTCACACAGCAAATCTACAATACTTGATGTTTCTTTAGGTTTAATTTCTTTGGAGCTCGAAAAAAAGGCCTCGAATGCAAAGGGTTAATTTACAGTCTGAAATATATCAGTTTTCATTCGGAGAAGCTAAAAATAAATCAAGAAACGTGTCTGCAATTACTAATATTCAGGTACAGGTATACTATCTATACATCTGTATACCATCTGTACCCTATATAATAAAGAAATAAAGTTTATAGTATTTTACCGAATACTTTACAAATTCAATTATAAAATAACTCGGATCTCGGAGAATAAAATGTGGAATCGAGAAGGTTGATTTCTCGCGATAATCGTTCGAGTGTAGCGGTTGGAGTTTGTTTCAACCATAGTTCTCGTCTCTATCGAATTCGCATTACTTGCGATGCGATCCGATAAAGTGGAGCAGTGCTGGACTTATTAAAATTGTCACGTACCGGTTGGACGTATTTATGGACGGCCGAATTTGTTTTCCCGGTAAAACGTTAAATTTTCAAAGCGTCGATGTTAAAGCGTCGCGGCACAGATAAAACGGAATTAGTATGCGCGGAACACGTACTCGCGTGTCCACGTCGAAACTGCGAACACATGACCTGGATAATTTTGATATATTCGTTTATAGGCGACGGAAATGGCGTGTAAAAACCGACGTATTGTCGGAGGACCGTCGATACTCTCGCGATAATCCAGCTGAACGGTGTCGGTCGAATCGATTGCTTGAAATAAAAATTGAAATAAACGTAAAATAGGTTCGAATCGGATTCTGGACACGAATATGTGTGAGAAGATCGGTTATTTTATTGTAAGTAACCATCCGAGGAAATTGAATTTATATCTTTATGATTATAGGAGGTGTTCGTCGTTGAAACAAGGACATTTGACGATACGAAAACAGAAGAATAGAGAACTCTGAAGAGGTGGGAGTAATTTCCTCTGGAGAATTCAGTGTACTTAAGGAAACTAACTTACTTTATCTTTTCATGATTATATGACCTGTGCGTCGTTGCAACAGAGGCATCGGACGATACAATACAGAGAAGGAGAAAAAACCTCGGGAGGTGAGAGTAATTTCCTCTGAAAAATTCGGTGTACTTAAGGAAACTAACTTACTTTATCTTTTCATGGTTATAGGACCTGTTCGTTGTTGCAACGAGGAGATTTGACGATACAAAAACAGAAAAAGAGAGAACTCTGAAGAGGTGGGAGTAATTTCCTCTAAAAAAATTCAGAATACTTTCTTAAGGAAACTAACTTACTTTATCTTTTCATAATCATAAGAGTTAATCGTTTCAACAGAGATATTAAACGATACGACACAGAGAAGGAGACAAACCTCGAAAAGTGGGAGCAATTTCCTCTGGAAAATTCAGTGTATCGAGTTGTCCGAAAAGTTTCTTTCGCGACTTGCACTCAGATATTTCGTGTGACGGTATTTATATAAATAGACAACTTCGTCTCCTAGTAGTTGACGTTAGGGCAGCAATAGACCAAATAGATCGTATACATTCGGTAATGTAACACAAACCATAAAATATTGTGTACGTATCATTTACTAATAAATCGAACGAAATTTTTCGGACAACCTGACACTTTCATGTCGCCAGCAATTTGAACATTTTCCCACTGCATTTAAAAATGGTGGATTTTCCGTGACCACCACTACGCATGTGTTTTCTCCTCTCGCTGAACGAAGGTACGGTACGCAATAGTAACGACATTAGGCGACCAATGCGGAGGAGACGCACGTCGGCAAGTGGGAGAGAGATTTCCTCGTGGGAACTGGGTGTACTCGACTGTGCGTAGTCGAATTTATCGATGAGTCACGGCGTGCGATCTCGCATCGCCACGTTTTTGCAGAATCGTTCTCCTGGAGGGGAATCGCACACGACGGCCCTTTGCACGTACACGCCTGTACCGTACCTAGGCCGTAAAATCTGGCCCGCATAAGGGCGGCCGAGAGGAAGGTGCGCGACCGTTCTCTGGGCCCTCGGGCTGTCGCCCATATGGCGACCATCGTCGTTATTGCCACACCGAGCCATAGGTAAACTACCCGCGCGCACACTTTTGTACTTTTTCTCGAGAGAGAGAGAACACTGTCCCACGTTTTCGTTCGCGTCGACCTTCCCCAACAGAACACGACATCGTTCAATGGTCTGGTGTCTAGGTCTGTGTCGTTGCTTGAACCGTGCTGCACGGTATTATTAGAAATCGAGCGTTTCTCAAATTGTTGAGACTTGTAGACATTTTCGTTGCTTCGTGTCGCTTATGTATCGTTTTGATGTTTTTATGTTTGTTTTATGGGGCCTCGTCAGCATGAAGATTATGTAATTTTTTAAAGGATTTCCAACAGGGCCTTTGAAATAGAATATATTCGATATTTTTTATTTTAAATCAAAACGTACATGATTTATAACATTTTAGTATTTCGATGTTCATTCCAGAGTTCTCGTTGGGCATATAACATTTTTAGCATGGAGATTACGCAATTTATTAAGGACTTTCCAAAAGAATCGTCGGAGTATAATATATCCGATTTCTTTTTTTTTTTTTTTTTTTTTTATATTTAATTTGAAACGAAAGTCCCCGTGATTGCAATTAAACGTGAAAGGTGTCCATCAGAACGACAGCATAAATTTCTGCGTAATTCGAATGCACATTCGGTGCAAACTGTTACGCGTCGTATGCAACTATTACGCGGTCGTGTATTTTCAATGGCGATTAAATTGCATTCATGTTCGAGTCTCTCGGGTTTCCAACGATAAACTTTCTCTTCCACCGTCGCGATGCTCTCGTTGGAGGAATTTTTTCTTACTGTGGATGAAGCCGCGCAAAACGTCGCTGAAATAAAAGCAACGAAACGTAGCTGGTTGGGCGTGAACCGCGGTCGAGCTGTTAATATGTCGCTTTTTATGGGCTGACAGGTTCTACAGAATAACCTGGACATGCAGCCATGTTGCAAAGGCAACGCCATGAAAGCTGATCTAATTGCTGTTCGCCAGTTTCGAATTGCACGCTCGAAAGGGCACCGTGTTCGCTCAACGAGTTTTCCGCTGCTGCATCGAACCGTGATACAGATTTAAGCGAGTCTAAACAATTTCAGTTTAAATTTCTGATACTGCCAAGTCTAACTTGACTTAATCTCACCAAACGTTATGAATTGTTGTAATATTCTTTCGGAAAGATAATCGGTAACGCGAGGGATGCAGTTTGCGAGGAATGTAAGTTAATTCCGAATGTAATTTACCTACCGCGTAAATTAACGTAGATCCACTGCGAAACGTAGGTGACGAACTACGTTAATTAACGTGTTTACACACGCCGTTCTTTTCTTACGTCTTACGCAACAGCGATGCGTAGTTCCGTAATGATGCTGACTTCGAACTGCGATGCTTCGTATACATTCGTGTCGATTGTATAATGTTTAGGAAGATTCTGGCACCGTCGATGATTAGTAGTTACTCGGTATCTTCGTCAAGCTTTCTTTAAATCTGTTGATAAATAAAGAAGTCGCGATACTTTGAAAACAAATTCCGTAGCTTCCAGATAGAAGGATTTAAATGGCTCGTTAACAGAGGAGGCTGGATCGCTTAAAAACAATCTCAAAACGATACGCAAGAGTTTCTGACGTCCCTTTTCCAAAAGTTAGGCAGCTCAAGCCTCTTCCACTCTCAGATAGTCTCTATCCGTTGTTAATCATTCTCTTCCAATTATCTACGACTGTATACCTAAAAATCTGCCCGGAATGTTTGCACGAATTTGCCTTGGAATCTTTATTTAACCCCCAAGAATCACTCGATTGCGAGATGTCTCGTGTTTTCATAGCCAGACGCAATCGTCGGGATCTCTACACGATGGTAAATACTCTTCGTCGCTTATTGGCTGGCTGAAGAGTACAAGGGAAACGTACGGTAGCTGGACCCGTGCCTATCTTGTTTTGCAGAGGCGCTTTCTCTGGCAAACAGAAATCGGAACGTAACAAATATTTGCTCGGTGTCCCCTAGATGCATCGCGCGTCGATGCTTAACTTGGTTCGTGCCTGGTCATGCTATCCGTGACTTATCCACGACGCGTATTAAAAACGTCGGCGACCCTTGTATCGCGACGATAACGCCTATTAGTACGCGGCGAACTTACCGATTGCGCGACACCCTTACACGTTCGTGCCAATTTGCGATCCTTCGTGATGGCATACGATCGATTTAGAGTTCCTTTCTATGGGGTAAAAGGAGCGTTCTTTACAGTCCGAAGGCCTCAGGAATTCTTTCTTTGGAAAAGGAGTATTCTTTGGAAGTTGGAGTCCTCGAGAAATTCTTTCTTTGGAATAAAAGTGTACTTCTCGCGTCAAGATTATCCTTCCAGATGAATATTACACGATTTATAACGTTCGTAGGAACAATGAAAGGAGACCTCGGGGGCTGTAGCTACGTTTAATTGTAGCTACAGTACGGGTTCAGCGATCCTGAGGTACCCGAGTTATAGGGGGGGGGGGGGGGGGAGGCAGCAGGCACCAACTACTGCCACGTCTAATGGGAGAATTATGAAGAGAAGTATGTAAGAAAATTCAAATACAAAGTAATGTAAAACAAGAATTAAATGAATGTAAAGAAGAAACAAATATAAGACCGGTACATTAGCGTGTTACAGTTAAGTGATACTTCGCACACTTCGAAATAAAACTCGATCGCAATTGAGTTGATCGAGAATCTCCACTCGAGATCGAGTGAAATTATTGTTTGGTGGTATCAGAAATTTAACAAATTGATAATACAGACAGCAGACGATAGCTAAAAGCAACTTCATATTTTCGCGTTTCTTTTTATATTTTATCTTCTTCGTCATTTTCCGTTATCCCTTAATCTACTCTAATTACGCGTATCGATTCGTTAGATCAGAAACTGACGAATTCCGACGTTACTCGAACTTCCATTTCGAGTACAGCAGAAATTTGAAAAAAAAAAAAAAATAGAAAGAAATAAAACGAAGCACAAAGTTGTCGCAATTTCCTTCGCGAAACATCCTATTTGCATTTCCCGCGCGCGGGTAGATTCGAACGCGGAATACGCGCACGGGAAATGAAGGAGAAGAAAAAGAAGAGGGACGTGCGCGGACAATCTTGCGCGAATTCCATTCTGGTTTCGCTTTTACCTGATTAATCGCGAATGGGAAGCTTGTAGAAGTGATCGAAGAGAAATGGCTGCTCGGCAACGGTGTGTGTGTGTGTGTGTGTGTGTGTGTGTGTGTGTGTGTGTGTGTG